GAGAGAGAGAGAGAAAGAGAGGAAGAGAGTAAAGCCGAACGGACGGGAGAAAGGACGGAAAGAGCGGACTTCAAACAGCCGCTGCATAATGCATCCGACCGGGCTGGTAGTACAGCGCCGACCGTTTCTTCACGCGTGCTCTTCGAATAAAAAGCTTTCCCGTCAGCGCGCGGAGGACCAACTTTCGTGCACTTCGCGATGAAATCATCGTTCTCCGTCGAGGGACGTCGATCTCCACGAGCGCTGGGTAAAGCGATGGGTTTCAGTGGGAGCCTACTCGCGAGGGTGGCGCGGGGTGGCGCGAGCGAGACGGTCGAATCCGCCGATGCGCTTGACACCGCTCGTTTGTAACTTGCGTGTCTCACGCGTCGTGTAATCGCCGATAATTACGACGGGATGACGGGGCCGTTCTTACGGATATGCCCATTCGGCCGCAACGTATTATTCTATCGTTTGCATCGGCTGTGCGGCTGTCGATACAGACCATAGCCGGCGGCCTCGATCGATGCACCCTAGTGCGAATGTTTTTCGCACGGTCACGACAGGCCAGTGATTTCGCATTGAAACTGAATTTCCGGCGGCTGTTCGTTACCGCGAGATACTAAGGCACATAGTATGTATTTTTGAACGTGATTGGATTAATAAAATGGCGAAAAGGGAAATGGATACGTACGCTTTCTCCTTTTCTCAATTATTCATTCTACTGTTTTATCTGAGAAGTAGAAATTTCAAAATATTGCGCTTTTTAATTCTAAGATTATTACGTGAGTGGATTTCGCAGTCAGATTTGATTTATTTTGATGAAAAATCATATTTTATTTAGAATTTCAGTTTTTTGAGATCGGCGCATAGCTTTTTATTTTGAAAAATATATAGAAAAACTTGCAGAAAAGCAGAAAAATGTAATGTTAGATGGGACAAGTTTCCTCGGTAATTAATCGAAACGAGAATAACTGGTTGACGTCATTTCACAATTATAATCGATATTAAAGGCGTATCTCAGGAAACCATTTCACGAAAATATTTCTTAATCGCTCTGTAAATCATTGCCCCTACGGCGTAAAGAAGAAACGCAAGATCTATCTCCTATCTCGTTTTTCTTGACGTTTAACGCTATATCAGCAAACAAGGGCAGCGGTCTTCACGGAGCAGAATCTACACGGGACATCCTCGATGTTTTCCTTCGCGTTCTGAGGGTTGGTGTCGACGATAGGGGACCGCGAGGGTGAAGTTGCGCATAATCTAATTTGCCGGCACTCGGGCTATAGTGTTACCATTTTGACACCAATGTACGGTGCCTCCGACAACCCTCTCGCGTCTCCTATACCTCTCTATCGAGGAGAGGGGAAGGGAGACCCTTGCTGCAACCCTTATACCGACGCCCCTCTCTCTCGTGGTAACGCATTAATACGCGCGCCACACGCATACAATACATACCGTCCGAGTGAAGGAGCCGCAATGTTGGCAGCGCCATGTATGTATATTGTATCCCACGTCTCACCCTTCGTCTCTCGCAAAGCAAACGTCCTCCACCACCCTCTCGCCCTCTGTCTTTCACTCTCCCTCATTCTATTCCCTCCCTACTACCCTTGTCGCGTCGCGTATCGAGGTACGTACACGATTCTCGCATTACGTCGGTGACCTTCCAAGCTTTGGTCACTTAGCAATTACTTAACGAGCTTCCAGACCGACCCGCGTTTGTCGAGGGTGCGAGGCACATTCGAACTCCTTTTTTTGCCGGAAGTAATATGTTTGCAGCTTGGAAGCTCCCCCTCATTGCGGAGTCAATGAGGAATGCCGCGCGTTGTAGACGGAAATTCTTGCGGATATGACCAGATTGAAGGGAAAGGGTTTAAAGGGAATCATAAGGGGAGTAAAACGAAATTGATCATTTCTATGAATTTATATGATCCATTAAAGTTTGAGAAACATTCTTAAGCATGGAATTAATGAAAATATTTTATTCAAAATACATACAACATATTGTATGCTCGCATTCCTCTTGTCATAAAGTATTTAAAACTTTCAATTAGTGAGCTTCCCCTACACGGATATAAATTATAATATATTTCTATAGAAGTATTTGCTTCAAAAGTCGTCATTTTTTATACAAATATTTTTCATAAATAAGCATTAAAATATTAGCAAAAAAAGGATGATATCATTGATATTATCAAATAATACGTAACGCAATCGCAACGAAGATGCGACTGAATGTGGAAGGTATAATATTTCTTCGATATTAAATTATCTGGTAGCGGAACCCATTAAGATGTCACTTTCACAGCAAATATAAATAAGGATATCGTGACGAATAAGTGCCTGACAAAAATAAAATACAAATCCTAGCACTCAAGAGTAAGCTAAGGTATAAAGCGAGTGAATAAATTATCAAGATATATGATGTTTGACGATTAAGAATTCGTACAAAAGTGTATTAAGCTAGCAAAAATTAAATTACTTAACGCATTGCTTACTGTCTAGTGACGAAAAGCAGTAGTAGTTGCTTGACTAAGATACATCTCTTTTGTATCACGCTATTCATACCTACAATATTGTTGTCATAAAACTTTATTGTTGTCGTAGTCAAAACGTAGTAAAAACTGATGAATAACTTTAGTATATCGTTTTCTATTTTCATGTACAAAATTATTAATTTTGTTTTATGTAACACGAAAATGATATTAGTAACATAACAAAGAATTACATTGTTTATGGTCCAATCAATAGAAAAACGTACAAAAAATTTTATTAAACTTAAATTATAATTTCATATTCATTAATTTATACAAAAGTTTACGCTTTCTGCTTCGCAATAATAAAATTTAATAATACGCTAAATGATTTACTGTTACTTGCCGATACGCTCAACTTCATCTTCATATATATGGCGACAGATACGTCGATGAGGATCAACGTCGCCCATGTCGTCATGGTTGGCTGAAAAAAAGATAAAATAGAGGTAATACATTTCAACTCTCTTACTGGCGGTAGTAACCCTTCGGTAGAGCTCAATGTTATGGCGAGTTCGTTCGCCTCTGAGATGGCTCTCCCGTGTGTCCTGAGGGATCAACAGACATCCCTTACAAGCACCATTCACGAGCGTATAGCATATAAAAGCATTTGTAAATACGTACCATTAATATTAGAATGATATATTCGCGGTCTAAGATGGTAAAGCATAAACTTCTTATTTCTCCTTACAACGTACATGTAATATACGAAGTATTTATTTTATTTACTGACTAATAAAAAAATTGTAACACGAAAAATATTATGTCTAAAAGACATTTTCTACAAATCATTCTCAAATAAAACAATTATGAAATAAAAAATTATGAGAAATTAAAAATTTTATCAAAAGTATTAAAGTTTTCTTCTTTCGTGATTATTTTCGTCAATCTATATTCGTTGACTATTAACTTCCATATTATTTTTTTTTTTCTTATAATACATAGTTCACGAAGAGAGAAAGAAGAGTTTAGCTTTGTTTATCCTGTACATATATATAAACATTAATTTTGTGTAATTCGCTTTAAAGCCCGTTATATATTATCTGTTGCATTAGCGAGAATACTACCCCGCTAGGCCCGTCTGGAAAATAGGCACGATACATTTTGCATCCCTCAGAGACAGCAGTAACCCTTCAATAGAAGCCGACATTATGTCGGTTTTCTTCGCTCCCAAGATGGGTCTCCTGTGTGTCCTATGGGATTACTAGGCACCCCTACCAGCCGCCATTCGCGGATGTATTGAATATAAAAGTATCTAAGTAGATAGTTCGCTGGAATAACATACCGAGCTGAGTACCGCACGCCTACCATGTATAGCAGAGGGGAACCCATTTCGGATGTCTTCAACCCCGTCGGTTTCGTGTAAACGAATAGTAACCACGGCATCCAGCCCATCGCGATCTTTCGAAGCCGAGAAAATATGTACGCCATTTAGATTCCTTCCGGAACACGCATATTCACTATAGTCAAAAGATTTTAGGGGACTTGGAATATTATATTAAAAAAAAAAAATATATATATATATATATTAAATAAATATATTATATATTTTTTATTATTATATTATATATATATTTATTTATTTATTTTAAATATATATATATACATATTATAATAAATATCGTAGAAATATCGTAAAAATTTGTAAAACAGTTTCCAATTGAGAAGAACCACGCATGTCAGAATTTATAAATTATATTCCACGCATTGATTTACTTATCAGCGATTTATTAATAATAGCTTAGAGATATAAACTGCCATCACACTTTTACGTTTCTCATTTATCTTTTCTCTCGTTTGAGATTCTCGTGTTTATAAGAATCGAATATAATGCGAAAAATAATATTTGTAACGATAATAGACCGCCAAGCAAAATAATCCAGGCACGGAGTAACCGCATTTGTGCGCGAGACACAGCGATCGCTTCTGCGCGAAAACGCTTTCGCACGCTACGATGAAGGTCCGCGTTATAGAGCTGATATAATGCAGTCAGTTATCATCGTTGATAAGTGGCATCCGTTACTGGAGGGGGTTTATGGCAATTTGAAACATTAATTGCAGATTAAACAGAGGTCGCGGGTACACAGTGAGGGGATAATTATGCCGCGGTAATCTCCGGCTGACCACTCGCGCACTATGGCCAGCAGTTCTGAACGTCGCATGAGTCCCACCCATTCGCCAGTTGATGCGAATCGCACGGGTGTGTGCGCCGGTCCTAAGCCTCGGCATTATGCGTATCAACCATACCGATAACCTGTCATTCTCGTGATTGGCAGTAAGCGCGTGCCAAACGTAATGCGCGTTGACATCTGCGCCGAACGTAAAATAGCAAGCTGCACCGTGTTTCGCGTTCGCCTGTTGTACCGCGACACGGACACCGCGACTTTGTCGTCGCGCCGGCGCGGAATCGTGCGCGTTTATTGAAATTCTTTCTTCGCATGCACCACGCAGAGTAATCTCAATCTAAAGCGGTGCAAAACTACATTAATAAAAAGAGAGAGAGAGAGAGAAAGAGAAAGGAGCGTGTCAACGATAACGCGAGTAGTGGATATTACACAGCTGCTAAACAACTCGTATGACATGCAAACTCGCTCACGCGATTATCTTCCCCCTCGAAGAGTTCATTTAATTCCTTCTTATACAAATTTTTATTTCTCCACCAGATTTTTGTACCAGATTATTATTATTTATCACACAAAAATACGTACGTATGCAAAAATATTCCGTTTCTCTTTCAACGAAAAAGAAAATTCCTGGTAGCACATTGGTAGCGCTTGTTTACAGTACTTGCTTGTAGAATCTCGCGAGAGATTCGAGAGAAAATTGCACATCTCCTTGTTTCCTTCTTCCTGTTTTGCTTTTAATCGTCTAGCATCGAACGCGGAGCGGGCTCGCGTAAGATTACAGAAACGAGGTGTCTCGAACGACATCCTGTATTAACGAATTCCATTATGGGAACAGTTATGGCAGTGCGCTATCGTTACTGATGAGCTCAGGGAGCTACGGCACGTACCACGACCTCCTGGCGACTTTCACATTTACCTTCATCCTACTAAAAGCTTCGAAGAGACTAACCTATCCAAAACTTTGCTCCTCTGAATTCGTAAAGAGCGTCCAACTCGCTAAAAAGCTGCGTTAATTAAATCAACGATTTCAAATCGGTTGTACTCACTCCCTGCCAGCCGATTAATTTGATTTTTTTCTATAAATGGCCGTAACTCTTCCTCTCTCGCAGAAATAACTTTAAGAAATTGGTTTCTGCAACAAACGCGCCATTCCTCGTGGATGTCTGCGTAATCCATTTTGACGTGAGCGTCTGACTTATACCAGCAACTTAAGAAATTCCAACGCAACGATTTCATTATTCAAAACGTAATCAAAACTTGCAAAATTTAATGACGCTTATGATGTCTGTGCATATAAATAATACTCTGAAACCTAAAGTAACCACGTAATCCAAATAATAGGATAAGCATCGCGGAAACTTGGTCAATATTACGATCTATATGCAAATTGCGTTCCAGTAACTTCTAGAGCACGCAGATAAATCGTGTCTCGCGCAAGAATCTGTATTTCTTGTCAAGTTCACGATTCGTAAATGTAATAAAATCAGCGTATACCTGATAAAAGCTGTAAATCCGGGCCAGATTAACCATACCGGTATAACGGCGGGGATGTTCTTCTCCGTGATTCCAGAACACATTGCCCGGTCGTGGGGGTAAAGGCAGCCCTTCGCGCCGTAAAAGATAACATTTAGCCGAGGCCCCAGAAATATTCTAATCCGCCCTTTCTCAACGTTACGTGCCTCGTCCGGCGCCGTGGCAGCTGACGTCCTCACAAAAGTTCCGTCTCCCCGTCGTTTCCCTACCCACCCTCTTCCGTTCTCATCCCTTATTTTCTTCTTTCTCTGTCCTGTCAGTCGAAACGCTGCGCATCGAGCTACAGCCTGGCCGGGCAAGCCTCTCTCTCTCTCTCCTTCCCTCCCTTTACCCGTCTTTCTCTCTCGAGCATGCTTTGCTGCGCAACAATGAGGGGATTTATTTTATAAACACGGGATATCCCCCGCGAGGCATTGTGCTGTCCAACGGGGAAGGAAAATGAGAGAAAATGTCGGGTGCGGGAGGGGAAGAGTCAGAAGGGTGACGCGAAAGAGCTATGGCCGCCGTGACTAACGTGCCACTTCACGGACTGCCTGCTTGTCTTTCATGAGCGGCTCTGATGGACCGCTCGAGAGCGGCCGCGTTCTAACCACCGGCCCAAAGGTAATCCCATTTCGGCGATAGTTCCGCAACATGGAAAAAACTGAGTTTTTGCGGCATGACGAAGTCTAAGAAATGCTCGGGTCTAATTTTCGCTAGACGCTTGATGATGAAAAGTCAAAAGCAACGTTATGCTATTCTATTTGCAAACCAAAGATAATTTTCATGGAAAAAAATAAATTTCTGTATGCCAATTAAAATTCTTGATAAATAACTTTACATAGTGCACGCTGTTTTAATTAGAGAATTCTATACAAAAAAATTATCCCGTTACTTTTTATAAAATAATCATTCGTTAAAAATCATTATTAGTTCTACAACGAGTTTCTACAACGACATATAACAAATTTAGATATATATATTTTTCTCTTATGAAAAATATCAAGTAGCATTTTATACAAATATTTCATATTATATAGTAAAATTTTAAATAAAAAAATTACTAGACTGTAAAATAGGTATGATTAATATAAAATAAGGCTTTAAGTATTTACTACGAGACAAAACTTTCGTTCTTTAGTAATCATTATCATCCTCTTTCTATCGGTGTTCAATGTCTTCTGTATCGATGACACCTATAATTTCTTCACTTTTCATGGCTTTTTTCTTCGTTACGCCCTTCAATATAACATCTCCATAATAAGTCGAGACAGTTGACTGACACGGCCATGACCCAAATGCCTCGACCTCAACTCGGTTATCGCGATCACAGGTGCATGCACAAAGCTGGTTTAACGAGGCGAGTTATCACGGACCAATTTTATTTTGGCAACTGCCTCATTTATTTAATGATTAGATCGAGGTTAGTCGGTCGTATTACGTAGACATTCGCGTACGTAATCCATGGCTCGCGTTGCTAAAGCGCAGAATTTAATTTTATAATCGAGATTAAACGGACTACTCATCCATCTTCAAGCTCCAAATTGGAAAGAGGTAGAGGGTGAGTTAAGCCGCAATTAAAGTTAACTGACGTTAGTAAAGCAACATCGGACGATCGCTGCTTTTCTGTACTCAGCTCTAGGCTCCGGGAAACGGGCGGTCCATCACGTTTCTACATGACGCGTTTACGATCTCTCGCGAGCGACACTCCGCGAGATTGAACATTCGAGGTCTTAGAGGTTTAATCGTTGAACCACGAGTAATCCCATTTCGTCCCCGTCCGCGCTCGCCGCTTCAAAATATCGCGCTGCGTGATGCAACCCTATTTGCCCGCCGAGATGTTATCCCTTTTCCTTCAGCCGGCAGCTTTCCCGGGTGCAACATTAAATGGAGTTGATCGGCGCACTTCCGGCACGTGCCAAGCTGCAAACTACTACTGGCTCTCGGCACGTGCGCGAACTCGACGCGAATAAGCAAACCCATTAGCCATTAGTTTCCATTGCAACATCTAATAATTTTCTCGCGAATTTCAGTTGCGCAATGAACTTAATTAAGAAACGTTATGATTATATCTATTTAAGGAAGCAGTTCAGCAGGGAAATCTCTCGTTTTAAGCGCAGTATCAAAGATAACAAGAGAAATTTTAAAAATCATAAAAGGTTCGTCGATATAATTGAAATAGATAAACATTTGATTGATAAAATAAAGACGAATAAATGGAGAAGGAGCACACACACACACACACACACACACACACACACACACACACACACACACACAACAACTAAGT